ACAGGCCTTCGAATTAAATAAATTGCTTTTTAGTTTTTCAGGTAGGTCTAACAGTAGGGTTAAGATATTTATATATATATATTTTTTTTTTACCAATTATCCAAATAATGTTTAGTTCTAGAAAGTTATTATAATCAGAACACGTGAGCATAACATAGCGGTTAGCAGATCAATGAATGAGAGGGCATCGTTACCAGAGTCGCCCATATACCACACCATGTTACAGCACAGTAGGGCTATTGCAGACAGAAACAATACTGTACTACATCGATATTTCCTGTCGGCTCAATTTTTGAGTGGACTTTGCTGTTCCGATTCGCATGAACGGTATACGAGTGGAGCGACTGAGCGGAGCGCACACACATAGAGCGGGATAATACGCAGAGCGTCACACCACGTGAAACTGAAACCTGAAATTTCGGTGCATCTCTAATTATTGGCGACATCAGAAATGGATATTATATAATATATGCTTTTTTGAACATTTTAGCAATTTAAAAATATTACAAAAGGATTTTTTTACACGGCATCCCTGCTCTCGACAGACGGCACCCCGGTTGGGAAACACTGATCTAAAGTATATGTATGTTTATTTTACACAATTTATTTTTTAATCCATTTTCAAATGATTTCAATTTTCTTAAATATTAATTAAAATAAATAAAATTATATCGGCTTTATATCAACCACCCTGGTTTCCAAGATATCGGCTGTCAAAAAAACAATATCGGTCGACCACTAATAACTTTTCAGGACTTCTTGTAAGTTTTCCAATGGAAGGCCAGAAACCTCTCAGGTTTAATTAAAAATGACCTTAAATTGTGTTTCAAAGATTAACATAAGGGTAAGAAAATGTGAAAGAATTTTCATTTTTTTGATGAATATCTCTTTAAAGAAAAGGTCAATGCACTGTTCTTGATCACACCTCTCATATCGTAGAAAGATGTTGTTGAGGTCATCGTTGACATGCAGGAGCTCCTCTGTGACTTCCTCACTGGACACACCTGAGATGAGCTCAACTATCCTCTGCTGCATGGCCCTGCACGTTCTGTTTAACTCCTTTAAACAAAGGAAGCAAACCATGTAACACTGAATAATAAAAACGGTCAACATAATGCTGCACCAACACTCCCTCTAGTGGCCTTCAGTAGCTCTTTCAAGCAAAGTAAACAAAAAAATCTGAATGAGAAACCTGCAGAAGCTCATGATCGGATGGATCCTCTTCACCAGGAACCATCTCAGTCAACATCTCTGACATCACCTTAGTGTTCCCGCGCACAATGTCGAGCTCACTGCGCAGCTTGCAAATCTAATCAATGATATTTTATTAAATCATTATGCAATCTATTAAAACAAATGTTGATCTATCCCATTTAAAAGAATGAAGGAAGGAGTACCTGTTCAGGGGAAGGGTTGATGGGCCCAGACATGTGCAGATTGGGCATCTGTGGGGAAGTGTGAGTCACAGGGGCAGAGAAAGGAGGAGCGGAGGCAGGGTGAGGCTGTGGCTTGGGCTGGACTGGGGCGTTATATTTCTGCTGGTCCAACTCTGGAGCACTTTGCTGCTATTATCAACAGAGCAAGACAATGAACGAAAGTGCAGAGATAAAGAGGGAAGGTAAAGCGATAAAGTTAAGTAAATGATAAGGGGCATAATATTTTAATGGGAGCTGCCATAACCTGTGTGATAAACAAATTATAACATATCTGACGTCAACACCTACCCGTTGTGGTGTGTGAATAGGGGACAAGGTCTCCAAGTCAGATCGAGGAAACTCTATACCCTTCCTCTTCATTTCTTCGTAGACGTGGACTACTCCAGTCAAATCTGGACTACTTCTGAAGGCATCTGCCCATGCCTGATGTATAGAGTACATGCAAACTTCATGTATGCTTTGAAATCTTGTAATTTAAAATGCATTAGAATAGCTATTAATATAGTTGATAACTGCAGTACACTAGATCTTCTCTACTTCAACATTTAAAACCTTGTTCAAGGGATAGTTCACCCAAAAATGAAAAATCTGTCATATTTCTTAACACAAAAGATATTACTTTGAATAATATGGATTAAAAAAATAGTCGCTACTGACTTTCATAGTATGGGGAAAAAAATACAACCCACATTCTTTAAAATGTGACCCTGGACCACAAAACCAGTCTTAAGTAGAACGGGTATATTTGTAGCAGCAATAGCCAAAAATTAGGATATTATAGTAGGATATTAAGTAAAGATCATGTTCCATGAAGATATTTTATAAATTTCCTACTGTAAATATATTAAAACTTAATTTTTGATTCGTAACATGCATTGCTAAGGACTTCACTTAGACAGCTTTAAAGGCGATTTTCTCAATATTTAGATTTTTTTGCACCTTCAGATTCCAGATTTTCAAACAGTTGTATCTTGCCCAAATATTGGCCTATCCTAACAAACCATACATACATCAATAGAAAGCTTATTTATTTAGCTTTCAGATAATTTATAAATCTCTATTTTGAAAAATTGACCCTCAATTTCGAAAAATGTACCCCAAATATCTTCCTTTGTGTTTAACAGAATAAAGAAATTCGTAGAGGCTTGGAACAACATTAGGGTTTGAGTTGCAAGATTTTTATGATAATTTGAAAGACGTCTCTCACCAAAGCTGCATTTATTTAATCAAAAATACAGTAAAACATTAATATTGAGAAAGTGACTGTTTTAAATAATGTTGTTTGAATGTCAAACAAAAATGCAAAGCAGACTTTACTTGCCTAGTTCTCTTTGGACAAAGCCATTCTAGACATGTTAATAATTTCATAATGAGAAATTTCTAGCATCACATTAGATGCAAGACCAAGCAAATTGAAGTCACCCTTGGTCATCTGAGCCAAACCTAGTAACCTGATCCACTAGGTTGTAATGAGCACAGCTTCAGTGCCAACAAAATAGCCGGATCTCCGTGACTACAGAGCATCAGGTAACCCGCCTCATGATGCACCTCCTCACCCTCTCTATCATGCCCTTCTTTTTGAAATGCCTCACGTCATAAATGTCCTTTCCTCATGTTGCGTTTAAACCCCAAAACAACAATATTTCCTTAATGAACAATCAAAACATCCAGTCCATACCTGTATCAAAGCTAGTACTTTGTCCTGCACTATGGCAGGTGGGTTATTTTTAGGAGATATGATTTTCACTAAAACGCCATCAATGAAGTCCCGGGTGGTGACGAGCGCATGGAACCGGTACCCACAGTTCTTTACACATGTCTCAAGAACCTGAACACATTATGGAAAATCAAAATGTACAGGACAATCTAACAAAAATGAATTATTAGATGCAAGTAAGACTGCAAAGAGAGTTGTTCCCATTGCACGCCTCTCACCGTCAGCGTAAGCATCACCTCCCTGTAGTTTTTATTCCCATTAAGCCTCTTCTTAACAGCTCTTATAGCATCCTTAGGCCTATAAATCAGATAAATAACTAAACACATCCATGCTGCAAAAAAGCAATCTATTATGAAGTTAAGTTGACAAGGTCAAGAGAATGAATCATCTTCCTCAAGCAAGCATTGCCAGGTTCCATAAATAACACATTGTGACGACTATACAATTTATGTAACGCCCTGGACTTGCGATGGATTTGAATGGCCACAGAATGACATGATCATTCAGCCATAAATTAAATGTGCAACTATAACAATGACAGCATCTTCTGGATTTGTACAATGTTTGTAGGTTTCCTAAGGTTGATGGAATATGCCAAAACAGAGGTAACTTTATTCAACCTGTTAAATGCTATAAATCATGCATCTTTCATGTCTCACCCATCTTCTGTTTCATTGATTATGTCACATATTTCCATATTCAAGGTCCAGTCTTCACTTTGTAGTGAGCCATCTGTGGCCCTTTCTGGGAAAGATCAAAAAACAAACTGATAAGATAATCGATTACTGCCTTTCACTAATAAGAGAATCTGATATAACATCGGCACTGATTACATTACACTGAACTGCAAACTACTGCGCAGTATGTGCTTGCATGGTGGTTATCTTCTAAAGCAAGCCGTCAGTTTCCTTACACAGTCCATTTATAAGAGTTGATCAATAGTATGACTCATTTACACACATTACCTCAAGCTTTTGTTATGAAACTGGGTGTGAGAGATAAACGCAGTGTCCACTGGCTAGCAGGCTAATACCAGCTGGTAAGTGAAAGTAGTATTTCAGCTTACTTAAAAGCGCTTCGCCTCCCTTTAATCGGTAATTGAATTCATTTAGGAAATTTATATTTTAAGACGCACATATTGAGAGGTAACTGTAAATTAGATCAGCTAGCATGAATGAGCATTATGTTAGCTGCTAGCCAGCTAACTGATAGGCTAGCCATATGTTGAGTTTCTACACAGCGGCTTAGCTAAATGCATCGCTTTATGCGTTAACTTGTTACTAAACTATTTTTAAGCATCATTTCATTTCTTAAAAAAACATACCAATGCACTGTCCCACCGGAGTACTATATGGGTTTCCCAGCAAGAACTCCATCTTGTCAACATACTCAACGACTAACAGTCAATGAGACAGTAAACACTCAAGCCCTGCCCATGGACGACTCCCATTGGTCGCGTGATTGAGGGCAGCAAAGCTATTGGGCGAACCTGCAGTCAGTAATTGAAATGACATGCCAGCTAATTAAAGGGACAGCAGTGATTCCACTGACTTTGCTTTATACCGCGGGTTTGTTATATATTACTAATGGTTATGTAGCAGAGTTCCCTTTCGTACTATGCACTTAAAAACATATATGTTTTTTAATGTGTGACTTTGACCTTAAGGGAACTGCTTGGAAAAACATGAGACTGGGTTAGTAAAAATAAATGAGATGCCTCAGTCAGACATGTGCACATGATTACATATCAAAATGTAATTTTGGTTTCCAACATATATTAGCTAAACAGTTTCACATCTTTGACATTAAAATACTGGGATTTTGTATGTACAGTCTTTCCATTTGGCAGCTGTTGAAACTAATAATACATATCATGACCTTAGACATCTATATTATTGCTCAAAACATAACTAGACAGCAACGGCATTTTACTGGTTAGGTAACTGGTGTCACTGCAGCTTACTGTAAAAGGAAAACAGGACAGAGATAACAAAAATCCAATTTTTTCAGTCTCAAACAGTGCCTTTTTGGCCTTATCAGTCCTGTAAAATTTTTCTCTTGACAGCTGTGCGTTCAGAAGACAGATGCACAAACATTGCACCAGCAGCTGTTCTTGCTCGCAGCTCATACATGTCATAATCATGGACCCATTCCACATTTCCCCATTGCTGGATCTAAGACAGAACAGAACATGAAGAACAGTAATTATTAATATGGGCAAAAAGCAGTAAGTACTAATCAGCTGGAACAAACTAAAAGCTACCAAACCTGGTATTCTTCCTCAAGTCTGGACAGAAGAACCGCTTGTTCCACGCTTAGGTGTCTGTCAATCAGCCCAAAGGACAAGACCAATGATTTCAGCTGAGTGATCACATACTCAAGCCCTGCAGAAACAAAAAACCTGCACTGTTCAAACAGGCCTCTTCACATAAGATGCAAAATCTTATGTAAAATGTCAATTTACATAAAATGCAAAAGCACCACAGTATCTTTACCTGTCAGAGACCAAAAATTGTAGGAATTAAGGTGTTGACGAAATGTCTCCTTAGTCTCCTCTGGGATTTGAGGGCCCATTATACTGGTGGACGAGCCAATTACTACATTGTACCTAAAAATCACAAGATGTTCATATACGTCATTCATTTTTGATGGCTATATATTGTGGCTATTACATAATCTAGCTAAAAAGTGTAAATAATCTAGCCAAAATTACCTTTGTTCTATCCAGTTCATTACAGGGTCCCATTCATTTCTCTGAAGTTCTACAAGACCTGGAGGTTCTTCTACTCTGTAACTACAACAAAGGTATCTGATTTAATAAAAACACACTATAAATAGATGTATTTAGGAAATGTAATACCATTCACCTTTACTGCCATTACAAGATAATGTTATATAAATCTTGGTTTAATTAATTAAATGCCATCAAGTGAAATATATACAAAATACCAGATTGTGTCAGTCTCCAAAAACTTTAGAGCAGCTGAGATCATTTGGTCTTTTGTCCTTTGCGTTGGGTTATCAAGTGCTGTGTTGCAAAGGGTGGTCTGTATGGACAGAAATAAGTCATATTAGCATATGTACAATTTGAGTCAAATCATGTTTTTATACATAAGGTTTTACATAAAATCAGGATGTTAATGTTTATAATATCTTAATACCTTATAGTCACATTGAGCAGATTAGAGCTGGATGAGCAATTAAACAGTTAAGATTTGAGATATGGTTATATATATATATATATATATGTTATCCCTTTCCATATAATCGAATTTAGTAGCTTCTTATGTCATTCTTTTTATGTTTTCTTATTTATTTATTTATTTTTTAATTAAAATTATTGGCTATTGACTAGAATTTAATAGATTGCCTTTTTAAAATATAAATTTATGATGTTAGATTACTCTTTTTATGAATACCTTATTTGATTACAGGTGGGGTTTAGAAAATTGATTCGGGCAGACTAGCAAAACAAACTTGTAGCCAATCAGCAGTAAGGGGCATGTCTACTCATGATGTGGAGGAGTATGTCACATATTTCCATATTCAAGGTCCAGTCTTCACTTTGTAGTGAGCCATCTGTGGCCCTTTCTGGGAAAGATCAAAAAACAAACTGATAAGATAATCGATTACTGCCTTTCACTAATAAGAGAATCTGATATAACATCGGCACTGATTACATTACACTGAACTGCAAACTACTGCGCAGTATGTGCTTGCATGGTGGTTATCTTCTAAAGCAAGCCGTCAGTTTCCTTACACAGTCCATTTATAAGAGTTGATCAATAGTATGACTCATTTACACACATTACCTCAAGCTTTTGTTATGAAACTGGGTGTGAGAGATAAACGCAGTGTCCACTGGCTAGCAGGCTAATACCAGCTGGTAAGTGAAAGTAGTATTTCAGCTTACTTAAAAGCGCTTCGCCTCCCTTTAATCGGTAATTGAATTCATTTAGGAAATTTATATTTTAAGACGCACATATTGAGAGGTAACTGTAAATTAGATCAGCTAGCATGAATGAGCATTATGTTAGCTGCTAGCCAGCTAACTGATAGGCTAGCCATATGTTGAGTTTCTACACAGCGGCTTAGCTAAATGCATCGCTTTATGCGTTAACTTGTTACTAAACTATTTTTAAGCATCATTTCATTTCTTAAAAAAACATACCAATGCACTGTCCCACCGGAGTACTATATGGGTTTCCCAGCAAGAACTCCATCTTGTCAACATACTCAACGACTAACAGTCAATGAGACAGTAAACACTCAAGCCCTGCCCATGGACGACTCCCATTGGTCGCGTGATTGAGGGCAGCAAAGCTATTGGGCGAACCTGCAGTCAGTAATTGAAATGACATGCCAGCTAATTAAAGGGACAGCAGTGATTCCACTGACTTTGCTTTATACCGCGGGTTTGTTATATATTACTAATGGTTATGTAGCAGAGTTCCCTTTCGTACTATGCACTTAAAAACATATATGTTTTTTAATGTGTGACTTTGACCTTAAGGGAACTGCTTGGAAAAACATGAGACTGGGTTAGTAAAAATAAATGAGATGCCTCAGTCAGACATGTGCACATGATTACATATCAAAATGTAATTTTGGTTTCCAACATATATTAGCTAAACAGTTTCACATCTTTGACATTAAAATACTGGGATTTTGTATGTACAGTCTTTCCATTTGGCAGCTGTTGAAACTAATAATACATATCATGACCTTAGACATCTATATTATTGCTCAAAACATAACTAGACAGCAACGGCATTTTACTGGTTAGGTAACTGGTGTCACTGCAGCTTACTGTAAAAGGAAAACAGGACAGAGATAACAAAAATCCAATTTTTTCAGTCTCAAACAGTGCCTTTTTGGCCTTATCAGTCCTGTAAAATTTTTCTCTTGACAGCTGTGCGTTCAGAAGACAGATGCACAAACATTGCACCAGCAGCTGTTCTTGCTCGCAGCTCATACATGTCATAATCATGGACCCATTCCACATTTCCCCATTGCTGGATCTAAGACAGAACAGAACATGAAGAACAGTAATTATTAATATGGGCAAAAAGCAGTAAGTACTAATCAGCTGGAACAAACTAAAAGCTACCAAACCTGGTATTCTTCCTCAAGTCTGGACAGAAGAACCGCTTGTTCCACGCTTAGGTGTCTGTCAATCAGCCCAAAGGACAAGACCAATGATTTCAGCTGAGTGATCACATACTCAAGCCCTGCAGAAACAAAAAACCTGCACTGTTCAAACAGGCCTCTTCACATAAGATGCAAAATCTTATGTAAAATGTCAATTTACATAAAATGCAAAAGCACCACAGTATCTTTACCTGTCAGAGACCAAAAATTGTAGGAATTAAGGTGTTGACGAAATGTCTCCTTAGTCTCCTCTGGGATTTGAGGGCCCATTATACTGGTGGACGAGCCAATTACTACATTGTACCTAAAAATCACAAGATGTTCATATACGTCATTCATTTTTGATGGCTATATATTGTGGCTATTACATAATCTAGCTAAAAAGTGTAAATAATCTAGCCAAAATTACCTTTGTTCTATCCAGTTCATTACAGGGTCCCATTCATTTCTCTGAAGTTCTACAAGACCTGGAGGTTCTTCTACTCTGTAACTACAACAAAGGTATCTGATTTAATAAAAACACACTATAAATAGATGTATTTAGGAAATGTAATACCATTCACCTTTACTGCCATTACAAGATAATGTTATATAAATCTTGGTTTAATTAATTAAATGCCATCAAGTGAAATATATACAAAATACCAGATTGTGTCAGTCTCCAAAAACTTTAGAGCAGCTGAGATCATTTGGTCTTTTGTCCTTTGCGTTGGGTTATCAAGTGCTGTGTTGCAAAGGGTGGTCTGTATGGACAGAAATAAGTCATATTAGCATATGTACAATTTGAGTCAAATCATGTTTTTATACATAAGGTTTTACATAAAATCAGGATGTTAATGTTTATAATATCTTAATACCTTATAGTCACATTGAGCAGATTAGAGCTGGATGAGCAATTAAACAGTTAAGATTTGAGATATGGTAGGCATCGCTTGCTGCATGTATGCAGATAATGTTGGATGCATCTATTTCCAACTTTAAAAATGCTGCTGGGTGATAACACAGTTAATATACACAATGTAAGAACTCTAACTAATGGCCTACTAAGTGCATGGTGTAAAACTTCAGCGTGTCCTTCTGAACGTCCCACTCTGTTGCAACAGCTATGGCAAGAGCTTCATTGGACACTGTGAACAGCTTTCCACCTGGAGTCTTCAGCTTTCGTTTGTCAAGGTTTATTTCGTACAAACCCCCTGTAGACAACACAAAACCTATTTTCAAACAGACATAACTTTTTCTTTTGTTAAATACATGTTACTTTTTGAAGTTGAAGATGTGTGTTGCAACACTGAATGATGCTCACCTTCACCTTGAGATATCGAGACATTTTCGTAGAACTTCTTTCTCTCTGCAAAATGTGATTTAAAGAACAAGAGATCAAGCATCAACACATTAGATTTGTCCTTCTATACCGTTACTCTTCTGTAATGATCTTACCTGTTGTGGCACTGGTATATCTTGCCTTTTGTAGGTGTGTTGATAAACTAGGCACATGCTGCCCTTGAGGAAAAGAAAATGGCCAAATGCCCTGACCAAACTGTCTGTGATACCTACAAATATTCCGTAACATCATATACTTAGAACGCTATATATTCCTATTAATTTAAGAGTACTGGAGCATTTAGTCAAGGTTAGAAAGCCGGATCAGGCGTTACAGCTAACTTGACAAATCATCGTTCATGTTTCAGTAAGAATATGAAAACACAAGTATTAAGTATAATCAAGGTTAACTCAATTATTTAAGAGCAAATAAATACTCTGACACGAGATGTCACAGCAGGCAGCAACGTGACACCAAAGCGTGAAGCTGACGACTGTGACCTACACAGGGATCGTAAGGGATAATTCAAAATAAGAGTCCTTACAGCTTTACCTGTAAATTGCTGGAATATCAAACGATACAAATTATTAATACAAATAAACACACACACATATTAGCTATATATATATATATATATATATATATATATATATATATATATAT